GAAACGTTCCACACGGCGACTAGCACGCCCAAGGCGTTCCCCGGAGACTCCGCCCCCGGCTCACCCGCGCACGCTGTGGAGCCGCCCCGCCCCCGCTTCCGTCTCGGTCCCGCCCCACCTGATGACAGTGATGACATGTCCAGCACTGAGGATTATTGCAAGGTACTATTAGATATAAATAAAATTATATAGATGGCATAAGTATCGAATTTAGATGTCGTGATTCAAGGTAATGTAACAATAAAAAATTAAGAAAACATATTCTTATTGTGTTGCAGCCGAGAATTGTAGAAGGTCAATCATCAAGTTCGGTTGAGCGCTCACCCGAAGAAAGACATCAAAGGATCAAATATCGGAAGAGGATTACAGGTTATTATGCATTTTGATTTAAATCTCCCGAAAAAATAAAAGATAATTTTATTTTTTCTACCGCCTTCTACCTTCTGCCACCGATAGATGGCGTTGTTAAATTTGTATTATCCCTAGTGTCTTCTTCATCTGTTAGGAGACAAGGGTCGTCGTCAGGTGACGGAGGCGGAGGCGCTGCGGGCAATGCAGCGACTGTGCTCGAGGATCGCCTCGCAGAAGCTGCTCGTCATCTCCTCGTTGGAGAACGATTGCTCCAAAGAGGAACTGAATCGACAAATCGCGGTAAATACATACGAATAACTATACTAATAGTAATTATTACCATTGAAAATTGTACTTCATTTGAATAATACCTCAGTATTTTGTAACATAATAAACAAACATAATTTTCGATGCTAAAATAAAAAAAAATGAAGTTTCAAGTCACACCTCTACTTAATCTATGTTACTTCTTATCTGAAGGTACTGCAAGAACTACAAAAGAAGTACGTACGTCTAGAGATGGCGCTGCAGTACTCGTTCTTCGACAACCAGGCGAGCCGGCGACCCATCATGGTGACGCCCATACAAGAGACGCCCTCCCTCACGCTGTCCGAGAGCGACATGCAAGTCGCCACCGACCAGACCAACGACACGGAACAGACCTTTGAAGATCCCTTACTAAATAGGTAGGAGAAACAAGCAAACATTTCATTTCTATACTAATTCTAACGTCAAAATAGACTTTCAAAGAGAGAAATTAAGCTATTTTATTACTCTTTTTTCCATTGCATTTTATGAGGTAATTTATTTTTTCCAGGTTAAAAGAGACAGAAGCGGAGGCGTCAGACAATGTGTCGACGTCCAACGATGAGCTGCCGTGTGAGGGGGCGTGGCGCGACCCGCTCGCTGCGGACCCGCGCGCACCAGCGTTACCCGTACCCGTACCTGTACCACTAAATGTTAGTGATTTTTTTTTAATTTTATCCTACTATTTGTATGAACAGCAAAGTCAAAAAATATTATGTCAATATTTTATTCTTTAATGTGATATGCTGGAAAATATTTAATAATTAAAATTAAAATGTTTCAGGATGACACCACAGCACTAGGCTTAACACATCCTATTAATTTTGGTAAGTTAGAACATTTAAAATATTTTATGCATTTTATATTTGCAAATATAGTAAATAAAGATATAATTGGTGTTGTGTTTATAGCGGAGGTGGTGAGCATACCGGGGTGGGTGGTGCGCGGTGCGGGCGCGGGCACGCACCACGAGTACGAGGTGCGCGTGTGGCTCGGACCGCACTGCCACTGGCAGCTGCTGCGCCGCTACCGCC